TGATCAATGTCATCAATCACAGAAACATTTTCGATGTCTTCGATGCGTTTTACGATTTTACAAAACTGTTTTCAATATAATTTCTTACGCGTGGAAAGGTGTCAAAGGTACAAATAGCTACAAATAACGCAGTGTCGCATGTTAGGAATAACACGATTCGCTGTCATTTTTTGTCATTTCCAATTCGCTGTCGCAATTTTAACCAAAATTGGTTTTGCTTGTCGTCATTTCAGCTCTCCCATGTCGCCGTTTCAACGCCATGTCGCCTGTCGGAATTTACCCTTAGGCTAACAGGGCCTCACATATGATTTACTTTTGATGTGTTTATATCAATACCTTCAACCTGAAGACTTCCTTGGAGTTCAATGAAAAGTTTTTCAACAGTCTCAACCTTTATTGCCTTCACACCTAACAGAAAACAGGACAATGACGAAAACTGAGTGATGACTGCATGCAGACGTAGCCATCAGGGCACTATTGTCTGAATACAGTAAATCTTTACTGACCAGTTAAAAAAATATTTAGTGGTTGCTGCACTGGTGAAAATGGCTTGCCATTAAATTGATAAATTCTGTGATATACTGTACAGAATTATCAAGGTCAAGATAAGTGTTACTTATCAGTTGAGCCAAAGCTAGGCAAGATTGATAACTAAAGACAACATTTACGGTACCGGTACTTCGACCTTTGCTAATTCTAGATATCACAACAAACTGTTTTTGCCTGTCTTTGCCAGTGTACGATAACCAGCCTGACAAATGAGTCCCACTAAGCAAATTCAAAATTATTATCATTATTCATTTCTTTAGAAATTGATTGTTTTCACAGTCAATGAACACGAAAATATTTGCATTATAGCGGGACTAAATCGCCGGGCTGGCTACACTACTGTGATAGGTAGTGCCAATAAAATGAACAAGGCAGCTTTCATTGGTAGGATCATCATGCAGCTACTTGAAAATATATAAGGAGAATTTTAGATATTTTGAGCTATTAGGCTCTTCATCTGGCATTACTGACAAAGGGCCTTCACTCGAAAAGTCAAAATTCTCCTTATACATTTTAAGGTTTATTATACATTGCATTTTTATCAATAACTCTTTCGACAAGCAATGATTTGTCACACAAAAGAACGTTTGGTTCTCAAAAAAGCAGTAAATTACAACGATTTAAATTATCACAATAACAGCATAATGTAAAAGAATTAGGAATTCATTTGCCTACTAAAGTCCCAATAAAAATGTCAAAAAGGTCTGCTTTTTGCACAAAACGCCATTCATTCATTCACTCATGTTTTTTCATCCACTATTTTTAGCAGCACTGAGCATGCCTGACCTGCACTTACAGTTATTCTCCCCAGCAACATAAACGACTCCATATTGATTTGAGACTGCAAGCAATGAAGTTCGAGCAGTTATCAATTCTTGAGGTGATTTAAAAACTCGCAACTTTCGCATCTGCTTATAAAAGAAGTCCTGAAACAAAATGTTAAACAAAAATGTCATTACATCGTGAATTATAGCACAACGTAAAGAACCTTGCATTCTCATTGGTAGAAAACTCTTTACCTAGAATGAAGTTCGCCCCTGTAGCAACGTCAACTTCCATCCAATATTAAACATTAGACCTTTCCCCTTATAACCGAAATTTTGATCTAGGCAAGTCTAGACAAATATTTCATCACAGCTTGAAAGAGCATCACAAAATTAGTAATATTCCAAAGTTTCGTTGAGAAATGTTGTAAAATGAGTAAAATAGAGCCTTGCGAAGTTTGCAATTTTCAGTCATTTTGCATTACAAACGGGAAATTGCAGCCCCAACACCCGAATCGGATGTCAGTTTCCCGTTACTTTGTAATACAAATTGACTGAAAAACAGCAAACTTCGCAAGGCTATATTATCCGCATTTTACAAGATTTTGCAACAAAACTTTGGAATATTACTAATTTTATGATGCTCTTTCAAGCTGTGATGGAATTTTTGTCCAGATCGAAATTTTAGTTA